ATTACTAGCAATAAACAGTCCAGCTCAAATTTGGTTCAAGCTCAAAAATGTGTATTTTACTTCTGTGTGTTTGAACTAACGACAAAATGTGTATGTTTTTTTCATCTTTCTTAGATATACATCATATTATAATTCTCTAAATCAACATTAGGGTAATATCTTTTAGAAGTCAGACAAAAAGCTGAGATGGGCTTTATGAAATGTTAGAATATGATTAGGATAATTTTATCTATTGATTCTTAAATTCCTGATAGTATTTTCTGGCGCCAATCTCTGTAATCAAATAGCAGTTTTTAGATAAAAAAAGATGGTTGTAGAAGCCAAATAAAAGTGTCTTGAGGAAATGAAAGAAGACCTATAATGTGGATGATATTGAGGAAAATTAATGATAGATTAAGTATTCCGTGTCTACCATTTACATTTCAAAATCAACAGAGAGAAAATCAGTTGTAGACATGTTGATAAAGAGTGATACGGTCATATAAGAAGAAATATTAGATCAATGCAAATAAATACTGTATGTATACTCTGACAACATCAAATGTTTTTACTGTTAAAATAGTGCTCAATGACATTTTCAAAATCCCTGAAGACATGACATTTTAATGATGTAAAAAAACAGATCTCTGTTAGTCAAAAAATCTTACGATCAGTTTTTTGTGGCAGTTTGCAATTCATTCATTGATTATGTATAGTGTTTATCAAGATAATTGATAAAATATGATGTCCAACAAAGTAACAAAAATATTTGAGAAGAGAATTATAAAATATATTATGAATATTGACTATATAAGAAAGCCAGACTATTTTATATTTAGCTGGTATATAATTGATGTAAAATAGAATGTTATATTGATTATATATTATGTACTGTGGTTATAATATAACAGTTTTTATATCAATTATTATACTGTTTATATATCATAGAAATTACTTCATTAGGCATTTAAGAGATCTGTCCTGTAAACTTAATATCACATTTTCTTGATATTAGAAGCTGAAAAAATAAATAAAAGAACCAAACTATATGAATATACAATCTCTAGATTTATTAAACCAATTTCTAGTTGCAGATACAAAGAAGTATGGTAATTAAGTTTAGTAGTAATATTATCTGGAGCTTCTGTGCGCATTTTCATATAAACTCTTCTGCCCTTCCATCTAAGGCTTCACCCTGAAGAAGCAGGTTGGAACTATTGTCGAGTTGGCATTGATTGGACAAGATATGATAAACAAATCCCATGATGCTCTAGACTCGTATACAGAATTTGACTGTGCGGGATTTTGTGTAGCTATAAATTAACGTGACAAGCTTCAAGTTTATTTTTAATAAAATCTTATAATATATAAACAATTAACATTTATCTATCTCAAGCTGCTCAAAAATATTGAGTTAAGTATCTATCATCTTCACAATGACAAGCTATTACTAACTTTGTCTTACACCTTGACTGCAAAAGCAACTATTCTTGTGTCACATATGTGTGTAAATGCAAGGCTTTGATTGTATGCCAGAGAATACAGTCATTCAGAGCTCTCCAGAGAAAGCCTATGAACAATAAACATAAAGTTTACAGTCTTTTTGTCGAGGGCTCTGATTGGCTGTATTGGCTGGCGTACAATCCAATCAAATCGATGCATTCCATGATACAAGAAAGGTAACTTTCAGTCAAGGTATAAGATGAAGTTCATAAAAGCTTGATATTGTGAAGATGAGTATCTGTATGAATATTAAATATGATTTATTTTCACCATATGTTATTAGTTATTAATAATGATAAGGTATAACCACTGTGTTGACTTATCAACTTCAGTATTAACATATGTTTATTCCTTTATTTATTATACATCATGTACTATAGCTAGTTATGTTTTCTATGGTTTTTTTATTCCTCTTTTATGGAAGCCAGTAGTGGACATTTGTCATTTTGACTTCTTGCCTTTCATACAGTAAACATGAACAGTGATTCATGAAAACCAACAAGATGACTGGAGCACTACAATCATTTTAAGCTTTGGAGAATAAGGTCTCTGGATTTTCTAGAAGTATACTAAAATATGCAGCAGAAATCTGCAGAATTCTGAATTCCATATTTTTTTCTACTCAGATGTTTTTAAGATATTGTTTATAAAGTAGAAACTGCTGTTGTTTACTGTTGATGAAATGGAGTTTAATGTTCTACTTTTTGGCACTTGTTTGGAATAATGAGAACAGACAAGACCATGCAATGTAATGTTGGACTTAGAGTGAATAGTTATACTAGGCCATTAGATGTCTTGGCACCTGTAGCATGCTGCAAACAATATGTACTATGAATAGGGTACTAAAAGGTCCATTGAGAATGATGCACACAATGTTTTTTCAATGATTAATATATGTTTCCAGCTGTTGAACTTGTTATGGCCTATGTTTTTAATGTTAGAATGATATGGTTTATCATGATAAATAGATTTGACAAGATAAGTTTATATATATGTAGTACCACATGACCAACAGTTGTTCTGTGACCATTTCCTACTTGTTATAGTTTAGAAACATGTTGAAATGTAACTCAGAAACAATCTGGTGGTATCATTGTAATTTTCACCATTTCTTGACCGATGTTAAGATACTAGAAATCTGTAATTAATTAAAATATATTCAGAACAAGCTGGTTCTTCCTGTATGATTTAATCTGCTTTAATAGATAGTAAAATAGATAAACTGCTGGCCTGTTTTAAATGGTTTTCTCATATTTTTGTCAAGATCTTTTTAGGGTAACAATCCTGCTGGTGTTCAAGACTTTATTTCTGTTATACCTGTCACTGTTATCAACGCTAGACAGGTAAAATATCTGTCACCATTTCAATTTTCAATCAGACTTCTGTCAGAATTCTGCGATTCCACTAAAACTAAGCGTTTATTGACATCACTAATCACAATCAAAATTCATAAAATGCTTAGTTTTAGTGGAATCGCAGGAACCACAGACGTCTGATTGAAAATTGGAATGGCACAAATTGATGCTATCAGTGTGGCCCATAGACATAAAAACTTTAGAAAAAACTCTTTAAAGTTAAATTACAGTGATTGGCCTTTCAGTGGTAGAAAATGCTCATCTGTTGTTTTCTGAAATTTGTTCCAGGTCATTTGATTTGGTTTACAAAAATATCAACCCTTGATTATCAAATTGGTATCAGAGATATATCATTATATCATATTATGATGTCTGCATTCATTTGCCTAATAAGGTAGTGAATAATAGATTCAATAGAACTCAATTATTTCCTCATAAACCAATATATAAATGATTTATAAAATAACAGTATGACACAATATACACCCTGTCATGTGACTTGTATTATTCTGATGATGTTATGAAATATTCTATGAAATAACAGACAGTTATATGATAGCATTATACACCTAATTCATCTGAAGGCTAGATATTCTCTCTTACAGAATAATGTTTTATTCTCTTCATACTATTGAGAAAACATAAATTAATCTCTTACTTTTTGCTTTCAAAGCAGATTGTAGTTTTCTGCTTTATATGAAAGTTAACTAAATGAAAGTTCTTATATCTGTATGTTAGATCTTTTTCTAAAGCAATTATAGAAATCTAAACATTGTCTTTCCCAGCTGGAGGACCTGACAGAAAACTCGGCTCTACCTATGCATAAGACCACAAACAGTTTGAAACCCACAAAAAGAATGGGGTAGATATTGGTCAATTTGCCATATTGGATAATTCAAAAACGTATCTCGGTTTCCTTCTGTCTGTGATGCAGTCTGTATGGGCTGACATCGAAAAAATATCTAGTCTAGTATGGACGGGACAACTTAACTGAGGCCCAGTGTGCTACAGGCTGTGCATGATACCTCAACAGTTGGAAAAGAGCAGGCTAATACCACTTTCCCTCATTGTACACTGCATAGCGTTGCCAGTCTTCATTACATGCAGAAAGTATGATGTAAAACTCCATTAATTTGTAAAATGGAATAAATTATCAAATGCATGAGATAATCTAGACAGTATCACATGTATATATTTATCTGAGGCATTTAGTATATTGCTTTTCTGTCAATCAATATATTTCAGCCAGTCATGTTTATTGTTTGGTGATACTTGGGGCATTTGGGAGTAACCACACAATTACCCTGTCATCAGTAAACATTGATAGCTTTCTGTTGGTGCCAGAAGGTTATTTCTTACCACATTTTATCTACGTCAAGCTACTACCAACTGATTTACTTTGACTGCAATAGCCACCTTTTTTGTATCACAGAAGTTTGCAAATGTGATTTGATTGGTTTGTATGCTAGCAAATACTGCCAATCAGATCCCTTGACAGGAAGACTGACTGCATTTGGCTCAATTGTAATCGATTTGTCCCATGGGTCATTTCACTTTTTTTTAGTGAACTAGCATTAATCTAGCATTAATCTCACTGTATCAGTCTCCCTTCAAATATCTAAAAACAGTTAATTGGTATATTTATTTCACATATAGTTTGTGATAAACCCTGCCAATAATATATCAGACTAACTTCCTGTTGATATCAATGATTTCCATATCTCTAGAGTATTAAATATGATTAGACAACATCAGTACAGTTAGGTTAAATTAATATTAGACTAATTAATATAATTTCTAGTCTTTTTTAACATTATTTAGTAGTCATGATAAAAGGTATACTGTACAGTTGTCTAAATATTTGCTTTACCAGCTGATAGATCTTGAATTTAGCAATGTATAGTACTTTTCAAAATTAGTTTCTGACTTGCGGCCCCTGTTTAGTCTGAGGTCACTTTAAGGGCGTTGTCAACTTTCCGGTCTTCAGTCATTAGCAAAAACTTCTTGTTAAAATCTATCAGCTGGTATACAGTAGTAAATGTTTAGGTGACTAATACCTTTGAAAATTGAGGGAACTCTTCAGGCTATGTATGGCTTCTCATTAGATTTCTGTGCCTTAAATTCATGTTTAAATTAAAACATTGTTTATTTTGTATATTTCAGATTGTAAATTTGTTCCTGTTTATGGTAGAGAGGTAGGTATTCTTTTCATTCCTTGTCACCTTCACATTTAACATTGAACAAACTAAAAATCATCATGAAGCTGGTGGACATTATACTGTTTGAGAAAGGGGACTATAACTCAGGTTGCCCTTACTTTTGACTAAGGGGCAATTCAAAGTGTCTAATGCACAGATGGCCTTTACTTTTGATTCAGGCACTAATGTTCATGGAGGTTTTCAGCAGACATTAATATTGACTTGACCCAACCTCAAGGTTGGTCTTAGACCAAATCATATTGGACAAGAGATCAGGAGATATTTCCCCGAACAGACATCAATAAATAATATCCATTAGTGTAAACCATATTGATTCTATCACAGCTTAGATTGATTTCCTTCTAACAGGTCGGGCAATATCAGTCATCATTGAATCTAATACATTGAGATATTATAAAGACCTGTAAACTGAGTGATTATTCTATTGGGAGTAGGATTAGAAATTGAAAGTTTGAATAAATGGAATTTAAGTTAAAAAGATCATCTCTTTTCTATATGCAGGCAATGGTGTTTCCACAGCAACAAACTTTCAAGTCTGTTGTCATTTTACATAGGGAATTAAAAGCCTTTGAGCTCCTCTTAGTAATTCATTGGTCCCTTCTTGGGCCAAATTTAATAATTCTTAGAAAACACCACTTTGTGCAAAATATGGTTTAGTAATGATGCCAAATTTTGGGCAGAAACCATCTCAACGCTTGCTCATTCTTTTTCGATCACAAACAACACAAGGTTGCTCTGAAAAGAAGGTATGTTATCTACCAGACAAAATTGTAGTTCTGACATGGAACGAGTGCATTTGGAACAAAGAACCTTCCTTTCTTGATTGAAGAGAACGTGAAATTGAGGAGAAATGGAATAGGCAAATTTGTATCATTGTCCTGAAAAAATATCCGTCATTGCACACTTCATGTAATTGCCCACTTTCATATTCTAGGAACGGCACAAATTCAGGATACTAAAAACAAACTTTGGTCTTTCACAATACTGATAAATAACACTGTGTTTTTTGACCTCATTAAGACATATATATATGCAGAAATTGAAAGGATGTCAAAAGTAAAAAATAAAACAATGACAAGTCTTCAATCATCATAAAACATAGACTAAACAATCCATCATAAATATATAATGTACCCACGCTGGGTGACCTCGGTGACCTTTACTACCTGACATTTGACCTATTTCATCATTAAACCTTGACCTGTTTCAACAGTTGTAGGCGCGGGGTTAGAATAATATTTAGTCAAACTTGGGAGTGTTATTGTTTTTAATAATTGAAATATTAAATTAGAATTACACAATATCAAAATATAACTCTTCTCAACTTCTATCTATCTATCTATCTATCTATCTATCTATCTATCTATCTATCTATCTATCTATCTATCTATCTATCTATCTATCTATCTATCTATCTATCTATCTATCTATCTATCTATCTATCTATCTATCTATCTATCTATCCCTTCTTATCTAACCTATCCTATCTATCCTTCCTATCTATCCTTCCTATCTATCCATCTATCTATTCAGGAGATATTTAGATAGATTTATATATATCTTAGTTTTTGTTTCTAATGAAAAACTGGACTATTTTACAGGTACTATCTGGTAATATAGAGAATATTCCTATCAAAGAAAAAGCCAAATTTCCCCAGCATTTCTTCCCTGAGGTTGGTATAATGTTATTTAATTTTATTATCGGGTTTTGTGGAATAATTGTCATCAAGCCAGTTATTTAAATGATAAGACATGGAAAAGGTCTTTAAATCTGACACAGACAAAGAGTTTGAATCTTAGATCAATATAATCTTAATAGATTAAATGAAAACTGAAAAAATACCGTACAATTTCAACTTAATGTTTCCCTCAAGAGATTTAGAGTTTTAGATATTGGCAATTTAAATGAAATACTGTATTATCTAATGTGATATGTAAGTCTAACAATTTAAAAAAAAGGAAATTCTCAAATGGCATATTTTCTTAATAAAAGATATTAATTTAATAAATATCACTCAAGTAGTTGTAGTGTTTGAGATATGTCTATCATATACAATAACAAATTATTTTCTCTGTCAAAATAGTGCTAAATCAATTGTAGAGCAATATAGAAATACCACTGTTAAAATAGTGCTCAATATATCAATTATAGAGCTATATAGAAATACCACTGTTAAAATAGTGCTCAATACATCAATTGTAGAGCTATATAAAAATACCACTGTTAAAATAGATCACAATAAATCAATTGTAGACCTATATAGAAATACCACTGTTAAAATAAAGCTCAATACATCAATTATAGAGCATTATAGAAATACCACTGTTAAAATAGTGCTCAATACATCGATTGTAGACCTATATAGAAATACCACTGTTAAAATAGTGCTCAATAAATCAATTGTAGAGCAATATAGAAATACCACTGTTAAAATAGTGCTCAATATATCAATTGTAGAGCAATATAGAAATACTACTGTTAAAATAGTGCTCAATATATCAATTGTAGAGCAATATAGAAATACCACTGTTAAAATAGTGCTCAATATATCAATTGTAGAGTAATATAGAAATACCACTGTTAAAATAGTGCTCAATACATTCATTGTAGAGTGATATAGAAATACCACTGTTAAAATAGTGTTCAATACATCAATTGTAGAGCAATATAGAAATACCACTGTTAAAACAGTTCTCAATACATCAATTGTAGAGCAATATAGAAATGCCACTGTTAAAATAGTGCTCAATACATCAATTGTAGAGTGATATAGAAATACCACTGTTAAAATAGTGCTCAATATATCAATTGTAGAGCAATATAGAAATACCACTGTTAAAATAGTGCTCAATATATCAATTGTAGAGCAATATAGAAATACCACTGTTAAAATAGTGCTCAATACATCAATTGTAAAGCAATATAGAAATACCACTGTTAAAATAGTGCTCAATACATCAATTGTAAAGCAATATAGAAATACCACTGTTGAAATAGTGTTCAATATATCAATTGAGTGGTGATATAGAAAATTGCACAGCGTAAAACTCAGAGTAACAACATGTTTCAGGTTCTGTTTAAATATGTCTATTATGTCTTACATATTCATTTATCAACTTTAAACTCTGAGTAAAAACATGATATTATTAAATCATAAATATTTATTTATCTATTGCAATCTAATGGGTTGGTATATCAGAGTTTGAAATCTGTCAATCACATGTCGTTATTTACCAGAGTGAGTTTATTGAAGCTATTTTAGGATCCACTATTATTTAGTAATAATATTAACTTTCTGTCATTTCAAATTTAGTTTTGACATGCATGATATATAGGTTATTGATGTAATATGTATTGTAATTAGATATCATTTAAATCAAATAAATCACTTAACTCAAGAGAGCATTAAGAAAGGCGGGGCTCACATTGATGTAGCAAATGACAGAGTTTGTGAACAACTGGATTTTCAAGTGCTTATAACTTGCAACATCTAAACTAACTAATTGAAAAATCTCCATCAAGTTAATATTTAGTATATATTAGATTTAGTCTTTGAGTTGGCAGCAAAATTCAGGTTGTATAATTAATATGAAATGGTTAATATCAAAGTAGCAAATTCCCTCCCCTGACCTTGTGATTCTACTTTCAGTTTAAATGGTCAAGGAAAGGTTTTTTACGGACAAGATGGAGTGTAAATAATTGGTAAATATCTCAGTTGTTTATATACTATAAAAATTTAGTAGACCTGTAAGAATGGTATCAGATATTCTGAAAGAGTGAGCATATGTACTCTACCACAGAACACCCACTACTGTGATAATTGTGTAGCTCATATTCAAAAAAGATTTCTGAAAGATAAAAACCGAAATAATGTTATCAACAATAGTTATGTACAATAGTTTACTCGAAGACCTCATTTCTTTGTAGATGATGAATTTTTGCTTGATTGCATGATTTTTGTGAAAATATATGATATGTATCATATTTCAGTGTGTTTGATTTGATCAATATTCATCTGTTTCATGATGCTTCTAACATCCTAGCTATGGAATCTGTAAGTTTTTATTATCTTGTTATGTTATTATCATATAGTTCACTTTGAATTGTTTCAAACTGATTTCCACGATACTAACTTGACCAACCCATTAAAGAGTTGTCTTGTTCATGAAGAGAGTTCTTGTCATGCCTTGTTGTAAGCTGAAAAAGTCATCTGTATTGTCAATTGTCAAGTCGTAGCTGGTCTCAGCGTACTACAATTTTCAGAAGTCTTAAACGATTGCAAGCTTTGCCAAATGATTTATGAATATTTTCATACCAATATTAGTCCTGTATTAACATATTATGTATGTTATATGTAGAGATATATTAATTAGTGTATTAATGATTGTCTATTTCAGAGTCCTTCATTATACAGTATGAACCGGCAGCAAGCATTATTTCATACCTTACAGAGGTACATAGCCCTTCTTGTTTAATAAAATCAATATCCCATTGAACTGAATCTTATATACTGAGAAATATACTTCAATTTATATCACTTAGGCAGTGACACAACATTATACTCTTTTGATTCAAACATGAACTCAGATGCCTGTTTGTATCTCAAGTTATAAGTTTATCTTTTGTTTGAAAGCTTTTAGGTTTTTCTTTTTTGCAATAAACTTTGTTTCTTCTATTTCAGATTTGAGAATGATAATTATGAATCAGTGCCATTTTTTATGTTTGGTGATTTTAATTTCAGATTAGATACAAACCAATTAGTTAAGGTATGATGTATTTTATTACAAGGTCTGTCTATATACTAAAATTTTTAATCTATGGCCTTTTCTGCTAATTTTCATCATTTCACCTTCGTTTTTTGATAATACCACGTAGTATAGAGTTTAATCAGGACATTCTGTTAAGCTGAATTAATATTCATACATATTCATTGTAACAAATAATATTTTCACTAATAGCATATAAAAGTAATTGAACAAACAAATATGAAGTTTAACTATATTACTATTTGTGTATAAAACCATCAATCTAGCTTTAAAAACTTGTTTTGGTTTACAGGCAATCACCAGTAAAACAGAATCTAAAGAAACTCGAGGTAAAAAAGAACAGATAAATAAAATAGTATTTACAGAACAGGGCAATGAAAAGGTGAGCTTTATCTTTAACAGAAGTGAGATATAAATATTTCTTCCAAGGCAAACTTTTTACATTCATATGTATGATATATAACAGTTTCACTTTATTTTCTAATTGAGTTTCTAAGTTTGTATTTCAAACGTGGCTACAAATTGTTACACTAAAAATTCGGCAAGAGATATATATATTTTAGTTCTCATCATACTGGCAACAATCATCAGTTAAAAGTAGTAAAAGTAGAAATTGTTTGTTGCAGTGTTTTGTGCAGAATATTTTTTAAATATGCGCATAAATTATCAATGTCATTTGATTGACATGTCATTTTTTGTTGATTATACTTCTATTATGAACTAAGAAGAATGGTTTATGTTACAGGTTGTATTAACATTAGAAACTAAAGGTTTTGATTATCATGATAAACATTCAGATCTGTTTTTTAATTCTAATAAATGGGTAGGTACTATTCTTGGTATTTTATATTTTATCCAAGCACAAACAGATTAAATATCCAATGAGTTTGAAGGAATTATGATATTAGATTCTGGGTGTCTCTCAGAGTAAAGTATACATGCCAATTATATCATGAAAATAAGACCAAACAATATAAAGTAAGGTATATATTAGCTGGTGGTCAAATACTGATTTCTCATCATAGATTTGGAGATAATGATAAGTATTTATTTTTTCATGTGTTTTAGTTGCACCAGTTTGATAAAGAATTATTAGCATTTCATGATAAATTAGAAGAATTTGAAGTAAACTTCCCACCAAGGTAAGAAATTTTAACAATTTGTCTGGTTATTTGTTAGCTAATGCCATGTCTTAGTGAAAATATCCATCATCATATCAAACACAATAATGTGCATAAAAAGAAGGGTCATTTTTTAATTTGTTGGCCTTTTTACAGTTACCCATTTAGTGAAGATGTAAATGATGGTAAAACTTACATGAAAACAAGATGTCCGTCGTGGTGTGACAGAGTTTTATTTAATACCAGTGCCAAAGACATAATAGTCCAAGTGAGTAGGCCTTCAAATTATAATAAATACGCTTATGTTATTGTTTAGGATACTGTGATATTTTAACTTTAACCAATGTTATATGTTCTTACTGTACTAGTGCTGGGTATCATCAATTATGCCACAATACGAAGTGTATCAAGTTACAAGGGTATAAAATGGGATAAAAATTAACATTTTATCTTCAAAGTTTCAATATATAATTATATTAATTTATAATTCACCGATATATCATGCCATATCTAGTATGTATTGTGCAAAGGTTTTCTATTTGGACTTCAAAATGTACCTTTTTTCTTAAGAAGATTTTATGTAAGAGGTCATCTAAATATCATCGCTCTGGAATTCAAATTTATAACTCCAGATGTTCTGCCACTATATTTTTGAATTAACCAAACATTTTTTGTAGAATGATAATATAAAACCATGTTATGATGTATTAGGTAGAGAAATTTGTATGGGTGATCATAAGGTAAGAGAATATTCAGCTAATGATTATGTTTTAGTATTTTGATTTCATGCTTTCTGAAATTCATGATTGAGAGACTCAAGAGAGGAAGAATATACATGTCATGGATTATTTCTTCACAATCTTTTGAAATATATCATTTTATAATTTTCTTATTGTCCTCGTCCAATGATTGAATATTTCAGTAATAAAAGAGAAATTGTAAAATAGTCAATATATATTGATGCTATTAAACACTTTCCATAAATATGATTCTGGTTACAACAGCTAACAGCTCTTGATGAACAACTTGATGTGGATTCTTTATTACTGTCCAAAAACATCTAACAAGCTTGTCTAACTTGCTTTTTTAATTCATTAATTTTCAGCCTGTATACCTGTTTGTCAGATTAAAACCAGGAAAAGGTAATTTGAATGATTCTTTCGACACACCGTTTCAATTCGAGAGAAAAAACACAATATCTATTAACGGGGAGAAAATGGAGAGTTCGAACCTTGATACTATTAATATACATGATTATGCAGTGTTTGAAAGGGAGCAGCATTTACCATTGAGTTTCCGTACTAGTATAAAATGTCATCAATCAACTGATAAACTATCATCCACAGATTCAAATCAAACGCCAGGTTCAATATCTCGCAAAAAATCCTTCCATGAGGCAGCGAAAGAAATCTGTCAAATTGAAAAAGTTCTATTGAAATGGCCAATGAATGCAAATCGTAGTCGCCACCATAGTTCTTCTTCGGAAGATTTCAATTCGGATTCGGAAGAGACCACGACGTCTGACCAAACTTCTTCAAAACCATGTGTTCTTAATGATGATGCTCAATCAGTAGCCACAGTCGAATCACTATGTTCTGTTAACAATACAGAAACTATCAAAAATTCTCAAAATCAAAACAACATTTCTTCAACTAATACTGCTGACACTAATGCTAATCTAAAACCAAAAGTCATGCATGAAATTGCTGATTCGAAATCTAAACATCTGGATTCTGAAGAATCTATCGATAACAAGTGTAAACTTATTAGATATAGTGCTAGCATGCCTGATAATCCTATAGAGCATGTAGAATCTTCGCCAACTCATGATCCCAGAAGTGTATTAGTGAGTGGTGAAAAACAACCCTCAGCTATCAAGATGGCTGCCAGTCAAAATAGATGTTGTACATGTGTTATATTGTGATGCTTTTTGTTATCATTTTACCTTGTTTTCTTCTCACAGTGAGTTATCTTTTATTTTCTTTCATTTTAACTTCAGTTAGAAATATTAAGAGCATGGACGTTTTCATCGTAATTTTGAAAAGATAGGAACATTGACATTGATATCTGAATCACATTTCTTAAAGGAAATTTCAACCTTCATGAAAACATATCTGATGCTACATATTTATAAATCCACCTCTGATTGAGGTAAGATTTTATCCTCATGGTGGGTGATATTGTAATTTATAATCTATTGAATTCTGTATTTGCGATTGTCATATCAACTAAATTTCTATCAGTAAGTAATGTTAATAGAGAAAATTGTAATGCTCTTAATATTTTTAGTTGGGAATTTTTTATGTAGTAGCTTCACTTTATTTAGCCTTTTGAAATCATCCCAAAATTTTTTTTTACTCCACATTTGGTTTATAAGAAAGTAATTTCTGACATAAAGAATTCCACTTTATATTTATATATATATTTGTTAACTTTTATTATCCAATTTCCTTTCATGATATTATTCTTTTAACATAATTCTTGCTGTGTCAAGGCTGTTGACCTTTGACCTAATAAATATCAAATAATTATAATCATATTCTATCCAAATAACATATTAATGCTGTGTAAATTTAATTGATCTGAATACCAATATGTCAGAATTTCTCTGTTGAGAAGTGTACATTGTTTATGTTTTAGTTTTATGAAAGGAAAGTGTTTGGGTATAGATGTATATTGATATAGCATTAGTCGATATTGTGTTGATATGGCAGGGCATGCCTACCCTGTTACATCTTCACAATGTCAAGCTATTACAACCTTCAGCTTATAGCTTATACTCCAACAGCTGTCTTTCTTGTATCATGGAAGTTTGTAAATGCAGTGAATTGATTGGTTTGTACGCTAGCAAGTACAGCCAATCTCAACAAAACGTCTGTAAACACTAAGCAATAATGTTTACAGTCTTTCTGTCAAGGACTCTGATTGGCTGTATTCACTGGTATACAATCAAATCAAATCCCTGCATTCTGTGATATAAAAAAGGCAGCTATTGGGCTAAAGGTATGAGACGAAGTTCGTAATAGCTTGACATTGTGAAGATGACCGTATTTTTGTATAGGATTGATGCTGTCCAATAGGCATAACATTGTTTGAATAGTCAACAATGTCTGTGTACATCTGGGAACATTTCTAAATATCTTTTCAAAAAAGATCCAGGATTTTCCTGTGTATGTTGCGAAATGTCCCCAAAAGTGCTGTAAAACTTAATACATACAAAAATATGCAAATTATCATTTTATATATGTTGCCAATGTTTTTATTTGGTGGCAATCCATTTTTTGGGAACCCTTTTTATTTTAAGTAATAAAATCACCCTAAGCCTAAAAAATCACCCTTCATCCTTTGAGTTGGTTGCAATTCAGTTAATATTGGTAATTTAGAATCTTATTTGGTTTTAAACGACAACCGTCATAATGTTTTTTTTTTGGTGAACTCTCATTGGTTGATTTTGAAATTATATTGACCAATTAGGCTTCACGAATTGTTTTATTTAAATGAATGTAAAGAATATGTGTGTATCCCAGAGCCTGTTTGAATGTTAGCATGATAAATGTTGTTTATATGATATTTATCCGTTTCTTCACATATCAAGCTATTAAAAACTTTGTCTTATACCTTGACTGCAATAGCCATCTGTCTTGTATCATGGAAAGTACCACAAAAGTCATAATCTTTACAGTCTGTCTGTTGAGGTCTATGATTGGCTGTATTTGTAGGTGTACAAACCAATCAAATTGTTGAATTCTGATGCAATAAAGATGGTTTTTGCAGTCAATGTATCAGACAATTTCATAATAGGCTGACATTGTGAAGATGATTTATCAGTTGTATGCATGAGATGTCTGATGTTAGTGATGTGTGCTGATGGTAAACTATTCTAGTATAGCTCAGTTAGAAGCAAGCTTTGATTTGTCTGCTAGGCTATACCCTGTTTCGATTCACAACCCATCCATCTTATCTCTTATAAACAAAGTATTTGATGATCATACCTGTTTTATTTTTAGATCCTGTACCTAAAGCGGATTTATCTCCCATGCCTGGAGCTGGTGACATCATCATTCCGAGTACTCAAGTGAAAATATCAGAAGTTGATACCACTAGGTACATCCATATAAGGCAAGGTGATAGTTCAATGCGTGTATTTCGCGAAACATCAGTTTGAAGATTTAAACAGTAATTCAGAGAGTGATGTGTGAAAAACATGTTGGTCTATAAAACAAAAGTTGTCTGAAGAGTCCTGAAACAGTAATGATGCATCAGTGGCATGAAGATTTGGACTTCATGTGAAATGCCACAAGTTGCTCAGGGTTGTGAGACAGGAAGAAAATGGAAGACAGGGACTCCAAGTAAAAGCAAGTGTTCTTTTATAAAGTGTATAACCTACATGTGGTAATATACAATGGAGAAAAAGATGTTTTGGTGCTCAAGCATGCATCATTTTAACTTCTAAGCAAAAACTGGCAATATTTCATTATATTTTATCACCAACATTGGACAGAACCACTTTCTACATTTTTACGGTGTCACGTTTAGCATGTCATTTTATCTTTGTTCACCTCGAATATAAACAACACTCCACAATTCATATTATCGTTTGTTGTCACACTGTGTATTAACATTTTTAAAAAATGGCTTTTTGAGACGTGAATCCACAAGCCATTTTATTCACATAAATATTTTTTTGTGATTTTGACATATTTGAAAAAATTCGGAACAGGAGAAGTTAATAAAATGGTGATGAGTGAACTTGAAAAAAAGGGTTCAGTTACAACTACAACTGCCTGAGATTATAAAATGACTGAATAAATTGTCCAGGTTATATGGACGATATATGGTAATGTTTTTATTGAATTAATGGTTGACAAGTTAAATGGTAAAAGGGAAATGAATTGGAGTTTTCATTCGTTTTTTTTAAATTGTTCATATTTATGGTTACATTGTCATTTTGTCTTACAAATTTTAGCTCTTAATTACTTCTTTTGTGATTTTGATAATTAGCTTATTGGAAGGTTTTGTAAAGAAAGTGGAAACATTCACCAAATAACTTTGTATAGTTCAAAATATCTATAATATAATCTTAAAGCAAAGTTAAAACTGTTTTGTGATAAGTAAAAGAATCATAATTCATTGAATCAAAATAAAAATGGCACAGAAGTCTTTCTGTAAAATAATTCCTGATAATGGCAAGAAAATCAAATTACAATAGATAAGCAGAGGTCATATTAGGTCCTGTATTTAGACATGTGATTTCATGCTCATGTTCAAGTCAGATAAAGTCAAACAAAAGTCCACACATCAGCTGAAAATCAGAGT